CTGCATAGAGCACAGCAATGATAATGACAATTGCGACAGAAGTTTTCTAGCGTAAGAGAGTTACTTACACACACACAAAGTGTCTTATTCGAATTAACTGAAATCAACGAATGTAAAGAAAACAAAAACAAAAAACAGACAAACAAGCAAGCAGTGTGTATAAAACATCGTAAAAATAAAAAAGTAACAACCAGTTTTGGTGCTATCAAAAGGAAACTATTCCAGTTGATAGGCTATTCGATATTGTGACATTGCTGCCACAACTGATTACGATGCGATTCATTCGTATCCGCATACATCTCAAATATTTTCGCACTTAATTACGCCAATCAAAAAACAACACGATCTTTAATACGATTCTGTTTTCGTTCAAAACAACACAAGTAATAATAATCGTAATATTGTATCGCTTGCTGCAATTCACTTTTCTTATCAATGTTACTATGATCAATTCGGACCGCAACTTTGAGAATTCACTCTTATTCTCGAAGTTATGGGGAAACATTAGGGAATAGCTGTTATGATGATGTTTAATGAATAGATTCAGATGGATATATTACTATACTAATTGAATATGATTACTCGAATTGTAAGTATTTAGATCGATAGAATATCGACTGCGATGCAATGCTGTGATTCGATGATAACGATCTTCTTCGATCAGATAAGAAACAGATAAAACGATCATGATATCTATCGGTTTTGTTGCAGTGCAAAACAATAACAAGTGTAATTATTGCATTATCACGCGCTAATGAAATATGAACAATTAATTCCTTACCACCAAACGTCACCAACAAGAGACATTAAAAGTCTTTATATTGCACTTACACTCAGATACGTACACAACTATTGAAGTGCTCTTACAGTCACGATGCATGAACGTTCTTGAATTCACAAATGTGAAATCATAATTGTCAACAAATGTGTAAAAATGATTTTCTGAATGAAAATACCAACTTGAACTTATCATATTTTCGACAAAGCTTCGTTGTATACGTTCAGTGCTATCTATATTAACTGAGTGAGTAACCATCAAAATCCATTTTCCACTCAAGAAAAAATGAACAGAACACTTCCCTCTCTCTCTCTCTCTCTGAAAAAAAGGGCTTCAAAGAGGGAAGCGTCTCAAGTTGATTGAACAAGTGAACACATGTGATGTGAGTGAGTAATCTCGAAGAATCGTCAGCGGTTGCGTTTGAGATGGATAAAAAAATGATAGATGATTGTGAGTGCATGATGGTAAACGAGAGTAATCCACTTGAAAAAAACTAACTTTTTTCAATAAGTTTGAGGAAGCCACAAATGCAAAAACGACTAAGATAGTTAACAGGCATGAGCAATGGCTTCGTTCCG